TTTTTAAAAAGTGCTTCAAAATCGTCTTTTTTTCGCTCTGGCGTCGAGATCCGGTTTTGGAGCTACAATTTCCGACGCCGTTGCGCGTAGTTCTCTTGTGCTTTGCAACTCAGTCTCCGCAGATCGCATTGTAATGGCTGCGTCAAGGTTGCTTCATGCTGTGGCTTTTGCAGCTGGATCTCGTACATCGTCTTGGACTGGCTGCATGAAGGCTGCGAAATGGATTTGTTAGCAGATTTTCTCCATTTTGGCGCTAGTGTTTTTTTTGTTGCACGTAGGTTTAGAGCAGTGTGAAGTGTGGGGCGTGAAGAGTGCAGTGTGAAGTGTGAAGTGTGAAGGAAGCAGTGGGAAGTGAAAAGTGTGAAGTGTGGAGTGTGAAGTGTGGAGTGTGAAGTTTCAGTTTGGAGTGCGAAGAGCGCAGTGTGAAGTGTGAAGTGTGAAGTGTGAGGTTTGGAGTGTGAAGGAAGCAGTGAGAAGTGTGAAATGTGGAGTGTGAAGTGTGGAGTGTGAAGTTTCAGTTTGGAGTGCGAAGAGCGCAGTGTGAAGTGTGAAGTGTGAGGTTTGGAGTGTGAAGGAAGCAGTGAGAAGTGAGAAATGAGAAGTGTGAAGTGTGAAGTGTGTGAAGTGTGAAGTGTGAAGTGTGAAGTGTGGAGTGTGAAGTTTGAAGTTTGAAGTTTGGAGTGCGAAGAGTGCAGTGTGAAGTGTGGAGTGTGGAGTGTGGAGTGTGAAGACTTTGCTTCGTCTCTCGCTGAAAAAATCAAACGGTTGTCGAGGGAAGGACACGGTCGGGACAGGGTGTCTTTGAACTATAGGTCATTTATGTTTGGGAAACTTCCGCCGCCGGCTTGCCCGGGTCTATGTGAATAAGAAGAGAAGACTTGCTTGAGCGAGAGAGGAGCACCAGTCAGGATATGGCAAAAGCGACCTAAACGTGGAGAAGAAGAGACGGGCCCTGTCAGAGGGTGCGGAACGCCGAGAACTGCTCATGGACTACAGTGCCTTTGGCAAACCGACCATTTTTGCTTCTGGAGTTGGTATTGACTGGCAGCTGTGAGATGGTACTAGTCACCGTCTTTAGAGCTCGGCCATGGTTGGATGGATGTCTTTGTGGAAGCCATGGCCATGGTTCAAGCTGATTTGATCCCTTCAAGGACTAGATTACCGATATGTTTTACTTTTCTCGTTCCCATTTGCCCAAGGTTACGTGAAATCCGAACAGGATAAGACCAGGCGAGAGCAAATTACAATGTTGGAAGAGCAGCTGCTTGGCATTTTTTTTTGTGCGTGTCCAGCAGTTACAAGCACTTCCTTGCCTGTCGTACCTTTCTATAATGGCATTTTACGTTTAGCCTTCGGTTCCGTTCATGTTCCAAGGCTTGCCGACGAGTTGGCCAAAAGAAAAGCAGAGAAGTTGCGGTACGAGTTTCTCTGTGGCAGAGTGTGCCGTTTGGGCCCAGTTTCTCTCTATCCTAATCTTTGGCCCCGCGCAGGCCAGTCAGGTGGCCCTGTTTTTCTCCCTTCACCTGTTCAGCCTTGCGTTGGCCAAGGATGGACAAACGACGCATCTGCGATGGATCTGACGAACTGAGGGCGCTGAAGGAACGGCTACACATGGCTAAAGTCAACAAGGACTCCATGTCGTGCACTGATCATGTGCTAAGGATGTGCTTAGCATACAGAGCATTACAGAACATGAAGCTCTTGCCAGGAGCGTGCCCAACAACTGCTCGAGATAGAGGTTCGATGATGTTGGATGATGTTCGATAAGGAAGTGAGAGTGGAGCAAGCGTGCGCGCACAGACACATGTCCGAAATTAAGACATCTCTGCTTGATAGTTCAGGTGCAAAAAGAAAAGAAACGCCTGGCCGAACATTCAATGGCAGAGCACATGGAGAATGAAAGGCTAGAGCAACAGGAGTGGCAAACTTGAAACTTGAAACATTCTTGAAACCATAGCATGGCGTCAAAATCAGCATGAGCACTCAGTAACGTTACATAGACATAGACATAGACTGCTTTAGCCCGAAGTGTCCAGGAGTTGGAGCACAAACTTGACATTGAAAAGCGAAAGCAACGGGAGCGGGTGAAAGTTATCAACCAGCAGCAAATTGCCATGAAGGAGGTGCAGTTGCAGTTGCCATCGTGCGGCTGCACTCGCAGCATTCTTGAAATATCTTGAAATTATGTGAATTTGCGGTTCTTGCCCCGGGACAGGCGCAGTGTGAACAGGCCTTGAAAGAATACGAAAAGGACGACAGTGCATGTAGTGTCCAAAGCGCGTTTGCCCACAAAATTTGGTAGGTCGCGAATAGGATTGGCCACAAGCATGCAGTGTCGCATGTCGTAGCTATAAACATGTCAAAGACATGACCAGATACTGGCCTGTTGAAGGACCGAAATCAAGTAGAATCCCTTGTGGCAAAGATTGCTGAAGAAGATGAAAAGGAAGCAAAGGCTCGAGCAGAGAAACAAATGGAGCGACTTGTCTCACCAAGCTAGGTAGCATGTCGAGGCAATTTGTGCGGTGAAGTAACAGTGAAGCATTTGCATTGTTTGGAAATGTTTGGAATGAATCTGGTTCCTGCTGTGGCCGTTTCTCGCTGAGACAAGGTCCCGTGTAATGCTGCAAAAGTTCATGCTGGAGCAGAATCTGGGATGCAGTTTTCTCATTCTGAAAGTGATGCTGCGATGCTGTTGAGTGCCGAATCCTGGTGGAGGCACCAGAAACTTAACTCGAGTTGCACTTGCCGAAACACCCGGATATATTGTTTCGATATACGTATTGAGTATTATATATAATTATATATAATGATATGTACACACACACACATATATATATATCATAGTGCTATTGATGGATACGCATTATTTATATTGAACTATATTAAAATTATATATAAGGGCATTTCGTTGCATTCAGGTGTCATGACATTTCAATTGGGTGTCGAGGGTGGTGCTTGCCGCTTCCCTGCAGCCCCATGCAGCCCCTTATTCTGGATCAAAAATGATACTGTAGCCACAGCTCCCTACAGGAGGCCAGGGTATGTTGGTTTGACTTATTCACGTAGTCTTCTCACCTGGCTCCATTTTACACAGCTTGCAGGTTTCCATTCAGAATCCTCAATGGCACTCTTCAACTGCAAGGCGATGTGGGCTTTGGGGTTGCTGGAACTTTCTTGAATGTGGTGTGCACAGTGGCGTTGACTTGTTGACTTGTTGAGCTTTCAAAAACGAATGGTTTTTGCCTGCTCAGGTGGTTGCGCAACAGCTTGCTACTCAGCAAGGGCTGGGGTTAGACTCTTGGACTTGTGCTCTGAGTTTGGGCTTGGGGTCAGACTTTGCTTTCTGAGTTTGCCTGGCCAAACAAAATTCACATCTTGGCTGGTTAGGTGAGCAGTCAACTCCTCAGATTGTTGTGGCATGAGTCAATGAATGTGGGGGTGAGGGAACGCCCGAGTAACCCTAGTGGCAATGATCAATTTGGCTACTTTCGCTCAAGGCCCGGCTGAGCATCATAGATCGTGATTGGCTCAGCAAGAATGCCCTCAACAGCAAGATAACTCTCACATTGTTTTTCAATGACCGCAGCCCAGCGCCAAGTCAGAGCAAAGTCTCGAAACCTGGCCTAAGAGTCTGTGACACCTGTGACCAGCAGTTCAGTCAATGTCCAACGTACAGATTGCACGTTTCATTCTATTTCCACATGAACACTTTTTACATATGTTTCCACAGAAGCTTGAACAAGTATCTCAGCGCATCAAAACTTGAATTCAGCTACTTGAGGATTTCAATCAGATCATCATATGTGAATCTAGCATCATCTAACCTTAATCAAGAAAATACATTTCAGAACAGGTTAGAAGTCTTCCAACATGAACTCGCAGCGATGATGATTCTGGCAGCGACTGCTGCTGTTGAAACACTTGCCAGGTCCCCAGGATTGCTGCTACTAACACCTTATGACCTTACGGCAACTTTTTGCACAAATTTGGCGAAACCTCTCAGCATCTCTCAGCTCAGGGATGAACCTGGCGCGAACAATTTTGGACAACTCCTCAGGTATCCACTCGTTCACTGATGTTTGCCAATGATTGACTTGATGCTCAATTGTCTTGGAATTGGAATGTATGTGGCCTGTTTGGAAACTCTCAAGGCAGTTGTCAGCTGTTTGCTGCTGATCATCTCTGAGGATGGGCAGCCTGTTTGTTTCGTAGACTTTGCTGGAAACACTTGATTCATTTTTGTTTGAATCATTACTTTGCAGGAGGCGCCTCTGCAGTCGCACAAGCCTCTCCAGTCTCCAGCCTCAGGGAATAGCCAAGATCATGGCCGGGGAACAGCTGGCAGGGGAATAGCTTAGGCCTGGGACAATCCTGCTTTCGATGAAGCAGCGACGTCAGTCATTTGGATGCCATTTGTTTAACTGATTTTGTTAGATCTTCTTCAACTCTGCAACCACTCCAGCTTGTTTCCATGCCACACGCAGGTTTTTCAGGATCCAATCGTCAAGATCTGCAGCTGCCCTAGTGACATCATCAATGTCATCAAGACCATCAGACAGTTCCCATGGCCCGATCATCAGAAGAAGACATGAGGAATGCTGTAGGCGGTCTTACTTTAGATCATTGAGATTGCAAAAGGATAGTTGCCAAACAGGCCCAACTAGCCAACAGCAAACGGAAGTGGGAGTGCTGCCCTTCTTGAAAGTCAACTTTACCCTGGAGAGTTTGCTGGATTTCCAGAACAAGCATCACATGCATGGTGAGATTGGGCCCGACAAAGAGAAAGTGCTGGAGGAAAACCATCACAAACGTCCCAACTACAACAATCAACAGAGAAGGCTTCTAGCGAAAGGAAGGCAGCATCAAGAGCAACTAGTCAGCAAGTATTAGAGAATTTAGTCAAACATCTAGTTTTTCTTTGCAGTTTTGCTCCTAGCATGTACTGAGCTGCATCTTTCAAATTTGTCTCATACTGTTAAGCTGCAATGCCATGCAAGGCAGAGTGCCAATGGTCCTGACCCAGCTCGCTTAGAACGTTTGCAGCATTTGGACCACTGCCGCTGTCACAGAAAACATTGCTTTCACAAGTTTGCCCGGAAAACGGAGCCACTGCTGGTCTTTTTGAATAGCTTCTGGGGAATGTCGCGGTCACTTCAAGACCTTTACGTCTGAGTCTAAGTTCTTTACCGTCTTTACTAAATTGACTTGATTTAGAGAAGCCATACAGGACCTTATTTCAGCAGACTACACAGCATCAGGTCCAACAAGTTTTGTGCAAGGGCAAGAAGGTGCGGAGGATGTGGTATTTGCTCGGCTGCCGAGTGTCACCCAAGTGTCTCACTGCTTTGATTGGTCTTGGGAACGCACGCATGGGACGGGTACTTTCTGGTGGCATGGACCGCCGCTATCGAAAGTGGGGCGGGGCCCCTCGCTTCAAATTGTGTGAGTTTGCTGATGTTTACAAGTTTTGCATGAAAGCTTTACCATGTGCAGATTCACATTCACAAAATGTTGAAAGATGATGAATAGAGCAAACTTGCCGAACATACAAGCATGAACCAGTTCTATATCTATCATCCGTGTTATTTGGAGCTTGTTCTGCCAAGGGGTCGAACCGATGTCCCAAGAAGCAGAGAGAGGTGGACCAATTCTTACTTGAGCTTTACATCAAAGCTGCAGGAATGCTTCCCCAAAAGTTGCTGGGCTTGCCATCACAAATGAGAAGTTTCCACTTGACTTGTGAAAGTCACTGCCTGTTTGTTCCAAGTCACTGCCTGTTTGACTGATAGGTTTCAGAGAGCAGCACATGCTCGGGGTGCTCCTCTAGGGCCCGGGCAGGAAAAGATGACAGCGCACCTGTGCCACAATGGCGAGCCTGATGAAGGCCAGAGTTTTCTGTCAGTCAGCATCAGTTTTCAGCCAGAGTTTTTCTGATGAAGGCTTTCAGTCTGAAGAGTCAGAGAGCGAGGCTGGTGAAGAGACCCTACGTGTAGCACATGAATCATTGCAAGATGATGAAGAACTGCGCCTACATATCTTAGGTTTGAACTCCTTCTACTGCAAGCATCTTGTCAAAGTCTGCCACAATCAGTGCCTGTTTGTTTTCTACTGTTTGCTACAGTTGCCATATCTTTGGTTCATCCTTCTTAGATGGAAACTGATTGAGCCAATGTCCCGATCAGGTATGTGGAGACGAATGGTGCTACAGCACTGAGCTCGCTGCCGACAAGATACCTGGCACCAGGTTCTATCAAAATGCTCTGGATGCAGTTCTGCCAAGAGCGGTCTGTCAAAGTGTCGTACCTTGCTGACATATATCATTAGTATTTGCCTTGATGTGAACAGCTGCAACATTGTGAATACATATTTTTCAAAAAGTGATTCGATGTAATGAGCAATTTTGTTCAATCCACCACTGACCTGTTATCAACAGCCTCTGGAGGCCCAAGCAGAAAATAAACATCAATCTTCTGAGGTACAACCACTTCTGGCGACAGTACACACGGACGTGGTCCAAAATACTTCGGTTCACTGCACCTTCAAGCCACGCTGCTTGCGATGACTGCCTCGAGTTCAAGGAACTCTTCAAGATGGCGAAGGTGTCTTGCTGTCAGACCGGGAATTGATTTCGCACATGTGTCACTGTGGTCAATAAAATTCAAGAAACTTGCCATCAAAAGAATGCTGTTTTGAAAATGCATATCTGATCCCACCATCAAAACCCATGAGGATCCACAGATGGCTTTTGACGTGGCCCGGGAATACAAAGAACATGTTGACAGTGTCAAGAGGGACCGGCAGTTGGAGGAGTGGTTGGAGGTTGGAAAAATTGAGCCACCAATTGTGTGTCGTATTTCTCTCACCTCAGTTGTGCATGTTGCATTGATTCCTGAACATGATGAACATGATGGAGTCACACACCATAAAGGATTGGATGTTCAAATGGATGTCTTTCTGATGCTTTTGTGCTGGAAATTGCGTAGGCCCAGAGCCCCTTGGAGCAGCCTGCGCCATTGTGCGTCCACATGGTGCCCCAGCTGCAACTTCTTTGATTCTCCATTGCACAAGGTGGGTGAAACTTTCCTATGCTTCCTCGCAGGACGGTATGGACCAGGCCAAATGGTCGGTTCCAAGGAGCAGATCTTCAGTGCTTCCCAAATCTCTCAGCGGACTCTCCCGACCAAAACTGAAAGTTCAAGGAGTATGGTTGCATGGAATCATACTCAAGCTTTGGGTGTTAGACCCTCGCTGCCCATCTGACGCTTCAAGCGTGCTTGAGACCTTAACCCGGACCATCGAAGGTGCCATGGCGCGATGCGAGGAACTGGGTGTGAAGCCACCAACCGAATTGCTTTGTTGGGTTGCTCTCCTGCATTTATCAATTTTATCACAAGTTGTGTTCCGACAGTTTTGAGTCAATCAACAGCCTCTAACACTTGGAAAAGTTTGATTTGAGATTCCTCAGGCTGATAACTGCCCTCGCGAAAACAAAAACAATAGCGTCCTCAAATGGATGTGCTATGTCACAGCGACGTTGAAACTCAACGTTTCCGCGTTGCAGTTCGGCAGGGTGGGACACACCCATGGTCCTTTGGGTCCTTTGGATTGAATTCAGGTGATCAGGATTCAAAACAGGTAATCAATTGAACTGGGTTGAACCAGCTATTGTTATCAGTCAACACTGGGTTTGTCCAACTAAGACCAAACCTACGGACTGCTTGCAGTTGCATTTCGATATGTCGATGTGCTTGCTGATGAGATGGATGTGGTGCAGACTCTCAGCTATCTTCACACACTTGCATGGCAGCTCTTGTCATCAAACTTTCAGTCTTGTGCTGAAATAGTCCGATGATAGTGCTGGCAGTTCTCTGTGACTTGAAGATGTGATATATCATACAGTGTCACCCCAGGAAACTCCATCACATATTGCACCAAATTGGCATAAAGCGATGGCTCGGTGAAAAAGCAACCATCGACGTGGAGTACATCAGTGGCACACGAAACTGGAAATCGTGGACTTTTGTCTGAAGTAAACACTTATTAAGTAGTAAGTATCACTGAAGAGATCATATCAGCATCAGCTTAAGTAAACACTGTCGAATGTTGTGAAATGTTTCATGTCTCGTGCTGCCTACTTTGCATTCAAGCATCACTGCCAGCTTACCAAGGCTTGATCGGGCACCGGTCACTTTCAAAGGAGGCCTGCGCGACGACAGCACGGGCGTCCACAGTTTCATGTTTCTTTTGCGCCGAGGCGGGGGTTTCAAAGAGTCAACACTGACATGTTTGTGCAATTGTGCACTTTCATTTCGCACCCTGACAGACTTGCCACGAAATGTCAAAGTGGCAGAAACCGGTCGCGGAGCGGGTGGAGAGATTCACCCTCTTGACGTGGTGGTGCTCGTCAAAAGGTATGCTGCTGACCAGCAGCTTGCCCAGGAGCTTAACACCTTTGACATTCTGATTCGCTGTGGAAGTGCTATTTGCTCAGTGTGGATTACTGCTTATGAAAATTGTGTAATTTGATTTGTTCATGATTGATGATCTTTCCAAATGGCAGGAAGCGCAGCTCTGCTTCCCGCACCGCTACTTGTCCATGCTGGGGCCATGCCCATCTGAGCCTAGAGCGCTTAAGGCCCCTGAGAAAACTAAGAAACAACATTTCTTGGAGGTGGGTAAGGTAATGCTCAGGAAGTACCCCAATGAGTCAACGAAAAGAGCTGTCAAGTTCATTTTGAAGCTTTGTAACAATGAGGCCCCCCAACCGGTGCCTCGCCTTGTGTGGTTTGAAAAGCCACCTGCTGAGCAAGTCTTGCTAGACTTGTCTGCGACAAGTGTTTTGGGCAAGATTGCACCATTGATGCGGTTCAATGCAGTTTTGGGACGGTGATGTGAAGCTTAGCTGCTGACCAGAGGCATTCGACGTCCAACCTGGCAAAACATGACTTGCACTTCTTGGTGGAATCAGTTTGTCTCGTGTTTGGTTGGGCAAGACATGTAAGCAACATAAAATGACAAAATCGGTATTACTATGTATTACTGCTTGGCCTGTATGCAGTTGTCCCATGTGTCTGTGCCATTGATCTTGGCTCTGAAATCATCACCAACAGCATCCAACAGCTCTTTACCGCTTACTGTTTGATCCTGCAGTTGCTGAAGCAGGCACCCGCAATGGATGGTCCACTGAAAACGGCTTTGAAATCCACAATCTGAAACAAACACCTGCAGACTAAGTATCCAGTGTCCAGTGCTAGTCCAGGTGCCATACACCCTGTATGTGTCCTCATCCTTTGTCTCATAATATACCCCTGATTTACCCCGTCTAGGATCATAGTAAGTCTATTCAGTAGTAATCAGTTTTGTATCCGTTTCGTAAACAAAAAAATCCATGAATGAACTGTCATCAACCTATTTCAAGCAAAATATAAAACAATCATCCCATTGAGTTGTCAGATCCAAGCAGATCGCATCAAACTAGATGGAAACATGTGATGCCAATGAGTGTTCTAAAGGAAGTGAAAACAAATCAACATGTGACAGGTTGAAACCAGCTCATCCGTTGCCTGAACATCTTCCTCCTTTTGGTGATTGTTGTTGGCCACCTGGAGGCAGGGCTGTGCGTGGCCCGTTTGGAATTGCAGTCACTGTGATCAAAAACAGGCAGCCAACAAATGTGAGGGACACTCGCCGTTACGACAAACCTTCAGGTGTCTAATTAGTTGCTTTTTGAATTGTGACACACATGTGACAATTGTCAGTTGGGATGCGTCCTCAAACAAATCAAAAATTGATTTCTGTCAGCAACATAGCTAGTCTCTTTGACCATCCCGAAATATACATCCCTTCTCACAGCAACTTCAAAAGAATGTTCTCTCCAGATCTCGGGGTGCAAAAGGCACTGATTTCCCTTCAGGACCTTGCGTGAGAACATTGACTTCTTCCACTGACTCTGAAGGAGTCTCAATGGTACGGCGCCTCAGGTTCAGGAATGGGCCATGATTTCGATTTTTAGAATTCTAGACCCTAAGGAGAAGGATGGTGCGTGCTGAAAACCAAAACCTACAGCAATGCAAATTGCAGGCTGGAGATTGCAAGTTGCAATTCACCATTATCTGACCGTTTTCTACATTTCCACTCCAAGCAGCCATTCAGATATGGACTGGCAGGTATCCATCAGATGAACCTACAAGAATTGGCATTCTTATTTTGCAATACAATGTGACAGAAATGTCCTGGGATGTGGTACCATTATAATCATGCACTACGGTGTCACAATATTTCACATGAACCAAAAGATGAGATCCGATATGAACTCATTGTATGTTTGCCCACCTGTTGCTGTTGCTGCTACTGGCCCCTCTTCACAAACCTTGGCCGGCCAGGGGGGGCGCATCACAATCCGTGCCCACGGTTGAAAAAGAACAAGAGTTGCGCTGATTGCCACAGCCATAATCTGTGAAAATACTGATCGCACGCTGATTGCGCGCTGAACCATGAACATTGACATGCTGACATACCCTGCTTGCATGTCAGAAGTATTGAACCACAAATTGAATTACTGCAAGATCTCTTGCCAGCACTTGGTACGTCTTTGGTTTGCTATTACATTCAGCAGCTGGTCGTTCCTGAGTGATGGGTTCAAAATCAGGTGAGATTCCTCCCAGGGCTGAACATGGTTAGTCTGAGGGATGCTGTCAAAGCGGCTGTTCGCGGCCATGTTCCCTCGAAGCCATCGTCCACCTCCAGGCAATTTTGCAACCAGTGATTTTCTGTAAAGCAGGTGTTGGAAGAGCCTATTTAATATTTGGATTAACCAGCAATTTGCGTTGATGTTGAATTTCACATTGAATCCTCAATCAATGTAACCTCACATACTCAAACAACATACATCAGAAAATGCAATTTGCTAGGCTTAAGCCTGCCCAGATCAAGAAGGATCCGAAGAAGGTCAAAAAGAACCATGTGAAGAGGCAGGGGTCCGTTCCAGTCCAGTTCAGTTGCAATCCTTGCAGTGAAGCAAGTCTGCAAGTCTGTCTTGAAAAATTTGCAGCAAGTCAGCAAGTCTGTTTGCAGGAAGTACTACCCGAAGACTGATGTGCCCATGGCCACTGCAGAGCACCCCTTGAATTTTCCAACCTTCCGATCCACCTACAAGTGGGCAACTGTTTTCTTGCAACAGGCGGCAAGGAGATTTGGGAAGTCTTTTGTATGCAATGGGCTGGCCAGTTGGAGATGGCTTCTTTCAACCACCTTCAGCGGAGTTGGCTGTGCCGAAACTGTGCAGGCCTTGGTATGACCAAGTTGCCTCTTTGATGTGTAACATAACATTTCTGAGTTGGCAGTACTTGACATGGATGATCCTATCACATCTTGCACCCATGAAGATTGTCATCTATACCTAGGCAGCTTTGAGTTTGCAATCAGCTGCTGCTGATTTCCTTCGATCCCATAGCCTGGCTGCTTTGACTCCTAATGTGGAAAGGGTAACTCTGGCAGCTGGGTGTGAAATTGATAAGGCTTGCAGGACTGTGCTGTTGAACACATTTGGACCTGCTACAAATGGAAAGCATTGCTTGTTTGCTGATGTCATGGGCGTGAGCCGCAAAAGGGGGTCAGCTTTCTGTGTTGCCCACAACAAGTGGTGCGCTCTGCGAAAGCCATGCAGTAACAACCGATCCTCAGCTCGATTCAGTGCCCTATGCTCTTACTCACTATGTCACCCTCTTGAAATTGATTGGCAGTAGGCCCTGCTTTGCTTGCTTGCGTTGAAATAGCTTAGATCTTGTCCTGGCCAAGGACTGAGAGTTGGTGTGGCAGGCTACAATCTCAGTAGATCAGAGAATTTCAATGAGTCAATTGGTTTCAGCAAGAAAAAACATGTATGATCTCAAATATCTTGTTGAGCCCAAGGTCCCATTTGTATCCCCTTCAGCATGATGGGCAACCGGTTGAAGACTGCGGACCCTTCCTTCGCTACACATACTGCCTACTATGAGAACGTGGCTAGTGACCAGGACATCAACATCATCGAAAACGTGCCTGAATATGAAGAAGGAATTGCCAAGAAAGCATTGGGTCCTGCCTGGGACATCAAAGCGATGAAGCTGGACCCGCGCATTCTCGGCCTCGGTGTGGCCAGGGCAAGGATTTACATGGTGGCCATTCGCAAGTCTAAACTTCGATGGAAACCCAACTTCTCAATGGAGGCATTTCTCGACGCAATGACATCACAAGTTTCCATGGTTGCAACAGACTACTGGTGGAAGAAACTGCCTTGTCAGAAACTTTCCCCAAGTGATGAGACATGGCTGCATTTTTCCATTGACACTAATCTACAGTATCATTGAAACTATATCATGTCACCATCTTGAGCCTGCATCAGGGGGTAGAACCAGCCTGGATATGAGTCACAAAGTCAATCCCTGAGGAACAGAACTTGCTGGATTACCAGAGGTCCCGCTACTGCGACAAGAAGATTGTGGACTTGACTCAACTAGCTCGGAACAATCGCGGGCGTGGTGAGACCAAAGACAATGCGCTGTGCACATTGACCACCAACTCTGGAAAGCTCTACTCCAAGGCATCACATGTTTTGTCTTGTAGCGTGTATAAAAAGTAATGATTTCAGCTCACCATTGAAGTGTCTCAAAATGAGGTGTTCAAAACTTGAACCCAAAAAGGGCGCCCAGCTTGGCATCCATTTTGGTACCACTAACTTTTGGAAGGTTTACACATTCAAGATGGCATCCATTTTGGTACCACTAACTTTTGGAAGGTTTACACATTCAAGATGGCATCCATTTTGGTACCACTAACTTTTGGAAGGTTTACACATTCAAGATGGCATCCATTTTGGTACCACTAACTTTTGGAAGGTTTACACATTCAAGATGGCATCCATTTTGGTACCACTAACTTTTGGAAGGTTTACACATTCAAGATGGCATCCATTTTGGTACCACTAACTTTTGGAAGGTTTACACATTCAAGATGGCATCCATTTTGGTACCACTAACTTTTGGAAGGTTTACACATTCAAGATGGCATCCATTTTGGTACCACTAACGTTGGGAAAGTTTACAGATTCAAGATGGCATCCATTTTGGTACCACTAACTTTTGGAAGGTTTACACATTCAAGATGGCATCCATTTTGGTACCACTAACTTTTGGAAGATTTACACATTCAAGATAGCGTGTTCAGACATAGTAATATTTGTAAATAAAATATGACTTGGTCAGTGGTTAGGTCAGAGATCAAACATGCCATGATATGCCATGCCAAACTAGTCACCTTCAATGAAGTGCATGAACATCGAAATGAATGTTGCAAATCAAAGAAATAGACCATTGAATGGTGACATTTGAATTGCCAAGTTCAGCAACAGCAGGTCATGACAGACTTGACTGCAACTCAATCCTGTGAACACTTATTTGAAATGCTTCCCCTCGCACACTCAGCTTGCAGGATCATGGGCGCTTTCTCTCTGGAGCTGAGTTGCTGGCCTCGCAAACGTTGCCCACCACATCTCTCCAGGCACGGTCGTCTGGCGCGCCAAGATTGCAGCTGGCTGAAATTTCTGAAAGAAAGATGGTCCGTATGAGCGGCAATGGCATGAATGTGCCCTGCGTTGGATGCATTGTTTTGGGCTGCATACTGGGCTTGGAAAGGATCTGAATGGATGAAAGTTCAACTGTCAGCCCACGCCAGCCCTGTAAATATGATTTGGAAATGAGTGCAAACTGTTGCCGAAATTCGCTGCAGCAATTCTGTTTCTGCATGGTGTTTTCCCACTTGATCAGCACATCCGTGGGTCGATTGAAAAGATGCGGAAACCACCCACAAACAAAGGCCAATCAGAAGATATCATCAGAAGCTGAACTTGGCAGCTTGAAGTTTGTAAGCCAACCGCTATCACTGCAGTCATTTGCTGGCCTCGGCCGGTCTCGGCTGTTCTCGCCGTGATGGCAAAAAGAGCAGCACCACCTGGCACTTCGCGGCGGCCATTGAAAGCTGTGAAGCAGGAAGATCCTGACCACCCGTGGGCTCACAAGATTTTGGAAGCAGCAAGGCTGGGAACATTGGATTTGAAACAGACTTCTGATTCTCAACAGCTATGTAAGTATCATGATAGAAGTTAAGTTAATCGAATCAAATACCACAAAAACACTTCAGCAGCCAACACCTGAACTGTGAGATGCAGATTTGATAAAGTTTTGTTGGCACTGATCTTGCCCCTTGGGCCAGGAAGTTCGACATTCAAAAAGGAGATCACCCTGTGGCATTTTGCCTCCGGAATTTCAACCAGGCCCTTTGCGAGCCGCTGGCTACATGGCTCAATGAGATTGCGCCAGGAACAGTGGCAAACATGGATTCTGTCATCATTCCGGTGTCTTGGTTTCAAACCACAAGAGAACCACGATGAACGGTCAAGAGTCACTTTAATTTTGCAGGGACTGAGATCTCATTGTGTTTCATCAGATTATTCAAGCCTGTCCTCTTGAGCCAGCCCGTGTTTGGCCACAGACTGATCAATCCTACCCCAGCTGAGGCGTCCGGCACTGCACAGACATTGAATCCGCCCATCTTGTCGCTCAACCTGGTGCAGCCATCGGACGGACTGCCACTTCTACAGGATTGGCTTCTCACAGCAAGGGATATCTACACAGTTGGCTACGAAGGGTGGAGAGAGACAGTGGAAGTTCGGTTGGATGACCCGTCATGCGTGGGGAAAGCAGTCAGCTATTGCTCTCTGACACCCACGAAGGGCGTCTGCCGCTCCACTATCTTGATATTCGCTCTGGTTTTCACGTTCCTCCAGTTCAAGGATATGATGTCTGAAGAAGAAACTGCAGATTTTGCAAGGCCCGCGATGGGGGAACACAATAGTTTCCAATCATGGAGGGTCCCTGATTTATGCTTTGTAGGCATTTGGTGTTTGCAAGCAGTCTCTATTCGATCTGATTGTCCTCACTGAAAGTTTCGAATTGATTGCCAATTAGTTCAGCACAGCAATCCAAAAAGAAATGACTTGATATAACCAGCCTCAGTCTAGCAAGGTGCAAGTAATCCAGCGCAGCCTTGCAACTTGCACACAATCCTGCATTGCAACTTATCGTCAACTAACAAGCCATTGTGCAACTAATGTTCAGGTTTGGGTTTTGGGTTAAATGCATCGCCTTTGAAGTTGAAATTAAATGGACCATAAAAGGTGAACCTGGCACTGAAACATTCGCCTCCCACACAGCTCTGCTGTCCCAGCCAGTCCTTGGAAACTTGTGCCGAGGATAGGTTTCCTGAGGCTAGGAGTGAAGGAACCAGTGGGATGTACCCAATTGATGATTGTTTCTTCTTTAGGAGTTCTTCTCTGACACTTACATGCACTTGTCCTACCCCAAGACAACAATCTAGAAGGTGAACCTTTGAGTGATAGGGTCGCCATGTCTTGGTGAAATAATTTGATGTTCAAAGGTGTCGCTTTTAACAATCCTGGATTAGTTGCAGACCATCTCAGTGCAAGTAGTCCAAGTGCAATTAATCCCATACATACAATGACAAAGGATGCATCTAACATAGACGGAGGACATCTATAGCAAGTGCATGCTGTTACAAGGTTATGTTTTCACTCAAAAGGTCGCCTTCTGGTAAACCCCGAAAACATCGCCTTTCACCTTACCTGTCGAACTTGCTGGCTAGGTGGTTACATTCACTGTCGACATTCCGTGTGACTTTGATGGATGGTCCAATCTATGCATTGGAGTATCGCAGGATGCAGATCCATGAGCAACAAGCGGAGAAACAAAGGAAAAACCCTTTGCAAAAGACTTTGGTGTTTGCAGAGCGTGCAAAAGCTATCATGCTGAGCGTCTCTAGGCTGTCAAATGCTTTTTTGACGAAGGTTGTAATATAGAACCTTGGTTTTCTTTGCCCAACCAGTAGCAGTAAGACCCCAGGATCACTTCAAAGTAGCTTTCACTCACTAGGCTGCCCCAACTCTTCCAGGACAGAAGCCTTGAAGAACGTGATGCCTTCATGGTGGCGGTGGCTGAGTACAATGTCTATGGTGTTGCTCTTACCAACCCAAAATGGCAGATTGATGAAGCCCAAGCTGCTCAAATGTATGGCTTCAAGGCTTGGTTGTGGTTAAATTCCAACAACTGCATTGTTCAACTTCAAAAAGAAATGTCCAAGATGTTCCAAAATACAAAACCCATTGTACATCATGCTAGGTCGGTGTGAGCCCAGTTGTGTGGAAGATGATCGAGAATCATTTGCATCAGCATCGCTTTGGTGATTCAGGTTGGGTTCTGGGAGTATTGGGGTGTTGGGGCATGTCATGTGTTGGCAGCAGTCATCAGTCTTGCTCACATGTCCCAGCCTTGCATTCGCCCCTGTCAGCCTTCAGCACTCCAACTCTGACATCAACCAGATGGCTTCTCAATGGACATCCCGATGGAGTTGACAACCCCTTGTGGCACAATATTCTGACTGTCGATTCACACAAGCAATTGGGATTCTTAAGCCGTGTCCTCTTTCTCCACGGCCGTGCCTTGAAGAGAGGGGGCAGGGCAGCTTCATGTCGCCTGACGCTGAATGAATGGAACAACGAGATTGAGAGAATGTGCTTAGCAGTCTACATCATGGAGCAGATGGAAATGGCAGCAGGCCATGATGGCAAGCCGCTTTTTGACGCAGAAACACTGGAGAAGGTTAGCAAACGCGTGACTGATGGGTTTCTTGGCTACTGTATTTAGTACCAGTCTTGCGCGGGGACATGTTTGGACATTGGGTGGGTGTTTTGCAATGCGCGTGGATGTGTTTCAATTACTGTTGCCCTTTGCTGTGCTTCAGGGACTACACCAACGAGCTCCAGACTCTCTTGACAGTGAAGGAAGCTCAGTTCCAAGCACATCACACTGATATCTGGAATCTGGGCTGTGCTTCTCCAGTGTTTAAATGAGTCTTGTTTTCTACGTACTAGTTGGAGAGTGTTGAAATTCCATCTCACTGCTGAAAATGGTCTTTCTGACAATGGTTGTCCTTGTTGTGAATTTATCTTTTCTTGGAAACCTACTGTGTCCAAATTCAGCAGAAACAAGGAGAGAACATGTGGCCAGTTCTGCTCCGGTCAACCAGTTTGCGGTAGTGGATGACAAATTGGAGTCAATGTCCAAAGACGCTCGCAAGACAGCCTTTCAACAGGACTGCCTGAAGCTCACTCGTGATGTGGCCCAACTAGGTGTGCTCTACCAAGAACAAACCCAGAGTGAAAGAAGCAATCGTCTTCAGAAAGTGCTGCACTTGAAGCATCAAAACAACTTGGGTGCCTCCTCGATCAGCAAGTTCATGGAGTTGAATATGCGCTGCGTTGCTGGGAGACCTGGGGAGCTGGAAGCTGCTGCTGACAAGGCAGTGGCTTTTCCAAATTGATCCCAACATATCAACGGTGATAAGACTATGTTTCAGGTCCTGTGTGATAAAGGGCTCATACCGGACTTATGTTCATTGCAAATTGCCTCATTTGATATTTGGACTTAGATGTTGCCATTCGGCCCGAAACTATCAGCCTACTGTTTGGATTTAGGGTATCTTGGGTGCATTCCCTGCGACAGTTCATCACCGACATGGCTCGGCATCAGTCTTGGGGAGGCACCATCGTATGGCTGGACTACACCAAATATGGGAAGATTACAGGGACTGACTTGAACGACAGCTGCGATCTCCTTTCAATGATCATGGGCAGAAAGCCGCAGTCGACCGTTGGCATCGTAGTGGCACCGTTTTTGGTGTCCGAAAAAGTCCAAAACGGCCAGAGGGGGGAAATCAGGACAGTGTGCTGACCAAAAAGAATCTCATGATGGTGGTGATGTTGATGGTGGTAATGATGACGGTGATGATGATGATGATGGTGATGGTGATGGTGATGATGATAGTGGTGATGATGGTGATGATGATGATGATGATAGTGGTGGTGATGATGATGATGATATGATATGATATGATATGATATGATGACAGGGATGATTACCTCGGTGCTGCAGGAAGTTATTTTTCCTTTGTCCAGTTTGGGCATCGTAGCCATGAAACCTGACATTCTTTATTTCTGTTAGTTACCGAAGACCCCAAAGACCAAAACCAAGCACGAAACAAAGCCCACCCCTGCCAGGAGAATAGAAGATAAACTCGACGCCCTTGGAATCCAGAGTGAGCTCTTCATGATCCGGATGGCCACAGCTCCGGGTCAGAAGCATGTGCCGCTGCAGTTTCCGGGGTGGATATGCATGCAAGAGGATTGTGTACGCGACAACGTTTTTGCGTCATCACAGCTCCTGACGGACAGGTGGGGCCCCCAAACATGTGCATACATGTTACATGTCCAATTAATTCAATCTGTGTTTCTTGTTTTAGATGGTACCAATGCAGGTGCACTCGTGCAAACATCAGCTGGATCCCCGAGAGCAATTATGTGGTTCCAGCGGCAGCCACAGACATGACACCATCTTCTGCAGAGACCAGGCCCCAAGACCATGTCTTTTCAAGAAACAGCATAGTTAGAGAAGATTAACATTGTCCATGTGCAAGATTTACAAATCAAGAAGTGTATAATAACAGGTTTCCGGATTTTTCAATTTATCAAGTTCTGTCCAATGATTCTGACCTCGATCGCATGTGCCAGGTCTATGTCACCTTTCCAGGAGAGTGCACAATACCTTGCAGGTCGAGAAGTTCCGCAACAAGTCTTGGGAAGCTTGCTCTCCAAGGCGAAAGTTGGTGATGGATCAGTGGTTGGATTGATCAACCTGAGTCCTTACGACACCTGGTTGGAGCTGACTGCTCATGAATGGGTTCTGGAACACAATGGGACGTGCATGCCGACTCTTTCACTCTCCAAGTCCCTGTCCATCATTGAGTATTGTCAACGATCGCTGGCTTTGAAGCTGTTGGATGACACTTGGCCAAGCAGCAGGGTTTGGCCAAATTATTCAAATTTCCAAATGGCCTGAATTTTAGGAAGCACTGGTTTCCAAACACTTCAAGTAAGCAAAAACATGTCAAAACCAAACGTACCAGGACTGGAAGCGTGGCAACCATTTGATGGGATCCAGCATGCCCAAGTACGAGCCAGATTTCGAACCTACCGAGCAAGTGAACCTTGCCAAGTTTCCTTTGCAGGTTGCAAAAATTGAGATTGTCCCTGGGAAGACTGGCTGGAGCAAGTACAAGATTACTTTGCCGCAGAGCTTCCGCTCCTTGTACTACAGTGATGTTCTGTACGGACCAGACTGGAGGGAGCTGATTGCAGACTTCGACAAGAGGCTGCTTTCCCCGACATCTCAACAACATGTTTTTAATTTTTTAACCAACTCTTTTTTGCTGTTCAATGAGCCCTCCCTTCAACGTTAGTCCTTTCACTCCATGGCTAAGGTTTGAGATCTTGTCAGCTGAGACCTTGTCGGCTTCTGGGGCTCCAGACACCGAAGCCGAAAGCACCTTGCCACCCTGGGATGAACCGAGAACTCTGAATGATCTGCTCAAGACATACGTGGTTGAGAACAAATTTGCTGGCAGGTGTGCCGGTTCAACGCTATATCTTGTTCAAGCCAAGTCCACCAGTGGCCAAACACGTGAAGTTGAAGATCCAAATCAGCAATTCAAGTTGTTTCTGGCCCATGCCCTAGCAATTTCCAAATTGGCATTTGCCCATTCACCATTTCCAAGTTGAGATTTGCCAGTTTGATCATTAGTTGAGTCTCTTTCGATCCTTAGTTGATTTAATGCCTGACACCGGACATCAATCTGAGGTCGCACACACTCCTCTCGCTGTTCCCATCAAGGACTTCCAACTGGGGCACGGATCAGCCAAATTCCAGAAGGCAGAGAAGATCGCTGCCATGAAACGTGAAGGGAAATCAGGCCAGGACAATGGAGGGTTGTGCATGGCAAACCTATAATATTGATAATAGTCTTCAAGTTTCCAATCACAGAGTCACAGTCTAAATCTACCTGATTATATTTGATTTCGTGTAGAAAGTTCTGTTGCTGCTTGTGCCATGATTCAATCGCAGAGTCTGCCATTGGGTACCACAGATTACCACAGTGCAGGATCAAGCTAGTGACATCTAGTGACATACAGGTGTCATTTGCAATTTGTGCCCTTGTGTCCCGTGTGGCCCGTGTGGGACTTTTGGTCCAGCTGACCATGGTGGCCCTTCAGCAGCTTCTTGCTAACCATGGCTTTTCCCAGGACCAACTTTCAATCTTGACACTGTCATTATTGATAACAGTTGATTTATGGATTTCATCAGATTCAGATCATGTCAAAGTGCATGGAAACTATTCACTATTCATAAAACGGTGATGCAATATCGAATCAATGATATTCAGTCACCTGACACCATCACTGTCAAGAATCGTTCCAAGTTTGCCAAGTTAGCACTTGCAGGACTACGATGTGGCAGCATCAATGGACCCTGGACTAGAGCAAACCCCTCCTGCACGTGTTCTGGGCTTACTTCTCCACATATCTCCGCATGTCTTACTTTCCATATCTTTCCATTGAACTTCATTTGAATACGTTTGATATCTTTTTGATATGACTGAAAACGAGGTGAGAAGCGGATCACCGCCGGCTTCTTCCACACCAATGTTGAAGGACCCTCCAGCTGCAAAACCCGAAGACGTCAAGCCTGAGGATTCTGCAGGTGGTGCAGAGCCCATGCCTTCACCTTTGCCGCTGTCATCGGCACTGAGTACAGAGAAATCAGACCCTGCACTACCTTCAGGAGAAGTGGATAAACTAGCTGAGGATCTTAAGAATTCTTGGGAGGTAAAGAGAGGGAGACCACCAAAGAAGGAAGAGCGCAAGGAAGATGCAGAGACAAAAGAAAACCAAAAAGAGAACAAGGATGCAAAGACCAAGAAGGATGATGCCAAGACCAAAGAGGAGCAGAAAGAGACCAAGGATGCAAAGACCACGGAGGATCCAACGACAGAAAAAGATCAGAAGAAGGAGGAGCAAAACGAGCCCGCACCCAAGAGGATCGGAGTTCTTCGTTGTCTTTCCAAGCCGGAAGCAAAGGCTGCAGCAAAGAGCAAGACAAAGGCAGAACAGAAGAAGACCGCGTCGAAATCAAAAGCAAAAGCAAAGGTTGCCAGAAAGACCAAAAGACATGAAGAAGAGGATGAGGAGGAAGAGCCGGAAGAAGAAGAAGAAGAGCATGCAGAAGACTGTGAGTTGGATAGCGAAGAAGAGCTTTCATATGATGATGACGGAGAGCTCAAACCAAAGAGCCTTGCGACGGATTTCAAAAAGGTGGCCAAGAAATCCAAGACTATGAACAAAGGCGACAAGAAGAATGCCAAGGATGCTGAGAAGGAAGGCAAAACCAACAAGTCAAAGTTCGCAGGCACTGGAAAGGCTGTTGCTAAGCCAAAAGATGCTCTGAAAAGCAAGAGGAAGGCAAAGCTTGATGATCTTGATGAGAAGGAGGATGAAGAAGAGAAGACAACGGCAGAGGATGTTGATGACGAGGACGAAGAAGACCATGGAGAAGATTCAGAAGAACTGATGGCTCGCAAGACCAGCAAGAAGAAGGATGATGAGGAGGAGGATCCGCCCAAGAAGTCCAAGATCGGCAAGTTCAGTGGCACCGGAAAGGCAGCTGCTAAGAAAGCCGGACAGAAAAAGGATGAAGAAGCTGAGGCTCCGAAGGGAGGCAAGAAGAAGAAGGCAAAGGCTGATGAGATTGACGAGGACGAGAAGCCAAAGGCTCGAAAGCGAAGCAAGAAGGAGGCAGAAGATGACGGGAAGAATCATGAAGAAGATCAGAAGCCTAAAAAGACAGGCAAGAAGAAGGCAAAGGTTGATGATGAGGAGGATCCAAAGCGTGAAAAGGCAGGCAAGAAGAAGGCAAAGCTTGATGAGGAGGACGTGAAGCCTTCAAAGACAAGCAGCAAGAAGACAAAGGTTGATGATGAGGAGGATCCGAAGCCTGAAAAGGCAGGCAAGAAGAAGGCAAAGCTTGATGATCTTGATGAGAAGGAGGATGAAGAAGAGAAGACAACGGCAGAGGATGTTACTGAGGAGGACGAAGAAGACCATGGAGAAGATTCAGAAGAATTGACGGCTCGCAAGACCAGCAAGAAGAAGGATGATGAGGAGGAGGATCCGCCCAAGAAGTCCAAGATCGGCAAGTTCAGTGGCACCGGAAAGACAGCTGCTAAGAAAGCCGGACAGAAAAAGGATGAAGAAGCTGAGGCTCCGAAGGGAGGCAAGAAGAAGAAGGCACAGGCTGATGAGATTGACGAGGACGAGAAGCCAAAGGCTCGAAAGCGAAGCAAGAAGGAGGCAGAGGATGATGAGAAGAACGATGAAGAAGATCAGAAGCTTGAAAAGGCAGGCAAGAAGATCAAGAAGAAGGCAAAGGTTTATGAGGAGGAGGATCCGGAGCGTGAAAAGGCAGGCAAGAAGAAGGCAAAGCTTGATGATCTTGATGAGAAGGAGGATGAAGAAGAGAAGACAACGGCAGAGGATGTTGATGACGAGGACGAAGAAGACCATGGAGAAGATTCAGAAGAACTGATGGCTCGCAAGACCAGCAAGAAGAAGGATGATGAGGAGGAGGATCCGCCCAAGAAGTCCAAGATCGGCAAGTTCAGTGGCACTGGAAAGACAGCTGCTAAGAAAGCCGGACAGAAAAAGGATGAAGAAGCTGAGGCTCCGAAGGGAGGCAAGAAGAAGAAGGCAAAGGCTGATGAGATTGACGAGGACGAGAAACCAAAGGCTCGAAAGCGAAGCAAGAAGGAGGCAGAGGATGATGAGAAGAACGATGAAGAAGATCAGAAGCTTGAAAAGGCAGGCAAGAAGAAGGCAAAGGTTTATGAGGAGAATGAAGAAGAGAAGACCAAGAAGCCAGGGAAGTTCAGTGGCACAGGAAAGAAGTCAGTCACGAAGCGTGGGAAGAATGCAGAGGATGAAGAAGAGAATGAGAAGCCGAAGGCTTCAAGCAGCAAGATGAAGGCTGATGAGTGTGAAGAAGAAGCAGATGAGGAAGATCGAGAGGAGGCAGACTCTGGAGAGGAGGCAGAGGATGAAGATGCAGAAGGAGAGGAAACTGAGAGCGACGGAGATGATTCCCCACCCTCTCCGAAGCCAGGCAAGAAGAAGGCAAGCAAGGCAGGGCAGGTCGAGGGTTTCAGGTCAATCAAACAAGAATGCACACAACTACAAGACTATTAATAGCAAGGCAGGGAAGGTCGAGGGTTTCAGGTCACTCAAACAGGAATGCACACAACTACAAGACTATTGGGACAACTTTCATCAACTTTCACTTCATTCAGTCAGGTGAATTTGTCACTCAAACAACATCCAAACATTTTGATCGCCAGGGTGATGTCATGAGGGATGCCTACCACCAGTACATCAAGGAAAACATGGCTGTGATGCGCAGTGAGAATCCCACACTGTCTGGCCGTGAAGTGTTGCAGACAGTCAGGACCATGCAAGGGGCCCCAGCCACCAGTGAAACAAAAAGCATTCAGTATAATTAATGCAGTTTTTGGAATGTTTGATTCATTTTGGTACTGTCTCGCTCCCCTTCCAAATGCCAAGGTGGAAGACTTCCGAGATCCGCACAAATTGCATCCGCAATATGACTCCGACTCAGCGTTGCCGAAGACGCCTGAACAAGAAGAAACAGGAGTAGATCCTCACTAACTTTTGGGGTTCAGCTGAAGCGTCCCATTCCCAATCAATCTACTGGTCCCTGTGATTTATGTCTCTCAAACTTTGTTCAAAGAATCTGGAAAATTGTTTATCTATTTCCTTTTCTTCGTGGTGGTGACCAACTCCTTAAATTGTTGCTTGCGACCGGAATGGAGGGAGCGGTGCTTTTGCTGCTTAGCGAAGCTGGCATCAAACAACATACACTGTTGTTGTGGGCTGGCAATGGACTTAGATGTGATGGCAGTGTGAGCACTGCATCAGGTGACGCCACAAGGCTCACATGAACCTGGTTCTCACTGGGATACATTGGGATATCGAAAATGGTGTGAAAGTGAAAATCAGTAATTAGTGGTGATACTGACAGTGATGATCATCATGATGATGTTGAGCTTTGCTGCTTTGGAAAACTTTTTCATCCTGTAAATGATTGATAATAGCAGCACTCGAAGTGGCAACTATGAAACTCCGACCATCTTTGACCATCTATGAAACTCTATGATTGTTCTGCAGGTGAACTTGAACACCTCAAGACCTGTGCTTGGAACCACGATCTGGACAAGGTCATTCTCGAGATGCCCAATGAAAATGGGAAAGGGACCACTGATGCTGACATGTCATCCATCCGTGCCTTGCTGCACGAGATGGAAGAGGAGGAAGTGGTTGATTGCACTATCAACGGCCATGAATGTGAACGTGCTCCGGCCTGTGGAGAAGGAGCTGCAGCAGCCGACAGCGACAACCTCATTTGTTTGATGCTTGTGCCCATGTCATTTTCCGATATGTTCTGTTTGTTTGCTACTACTTTGTCATCAAACCAGGTGCTGACTACTTTGTCATCAAACCGAAGCCAACACCTATCTACTTTCAATGGAGCCCACCATCGCTGACGAGCTCATGCAAGTACACTTCACTGGCGAATGTCTTTTCAGAGAAGGTGCCCAAGAATAGTCTGGTCTTACGTGAAATGATTGATAGTAACAAGTCATCACAAGATATTCTGAGTTGTGTAGCCTACTCTTGCAGCTGCTAGGTTCTGCAAGCTTCGCGCATGCTTCATTGTGTGTGGCGTGTTGCTTATTTGAAGGAAGCCAATGTGCCTGTGCTGCAAGCTAGCTGTCGCAATTTCAATGCCCTTCAAACAGTGGGATGCCCATGTCAATGCCAGTTACAGTCTTGAGAAAGCTGAGGAACTGACCCCGCGATGCTTGGCAGCAACAGGTTTGCCAGCCCTGAGCAGTATGATGATTGCAGGTCAATATCAGTTCCGCATGTGGATGGAAGGTACCTCTGATTCATTTCGATGTACACGGTATTATGTAATAAATGTTCCCTTCACAAAGCTCTTGTTCTTTCACTCGCCATAATTCAGCAACATCTGAGGTAAACCCTTGTACTTTCTCCGGGGCACGACTGATTTGACAATGGATGTCAACGAATGCATCCGCTTGCTGTGATAGCGATTTTTCGTGCGACAATTTTGCGGATTTCATGACATGCTCACAATGTTGGATACCTTTTAAAAGTCAACATTGGTCAACATCAACTCAAGTCACCCAACTTTGTTTCACAACCTGATGTTGGAATCATTGGTGAGCTGATCATAGCTCAAGGCAGCTAAGGGCTGGGCAGACAGCTGGCTCAAGCCATTCAAGCCCGAGGACAAACCACCCATGCTGGAAAAAAACATTGTGAACTCAGACTGCTGCTGTTTTTGTGATTCAGCGATCACTTCAAGAACTCCAATGCCTGGTTAATGTTGATGATTTTTCACAGCGCATTGCAGCTGATGTTTCTGGTGCTTTTTCTGACTGTACTTGATAGATTATGTTCCAGCTTGGATAGGCAATGTGCATGACATTGCATGACCCACTGATCCAAAGTTTTCTTTGCCTGACCGAGGTCCGAACAGCTTGATATCGATTTGTTGCCCAAGGCCCCAAGGACCTGAAATCCGCAAGGGACACATGTACCAGCCCACATACCGTGCCCATACCAGTCATGACTTCAAATGATTTTAGAATATCCGGACATAAACCTAAAGGATTGTAGGATCGCCTTTAGATTTGCAATACTTATGATTGCAGGAACCTTTCCCGAAGATCGTAAAGTACTGGCCAATGAGATTCCCGAACTGCGTATATGACAAAATCAGTGGTTACCGAACTGCGTGTATGATGACATCAGGGATTCCCGAAGTTCGTGTATGACAACATCAGGATACATCAGGGATTCCCGCATTGCGTGTATGACAAAATCAGTGTTTCACGAAGTTCGTCTGTGGTGGGGTTGCCGGGGGTGCCGGGTTGCCGGGTTGCCGGGTTGCCGGGGTTGCCGGGTTGCCGGGTTGCCGGGTTGCCGGTTTGCCGGGTTGCTGGGTTGCTGGTTTTGCCGGTTTGCTGGGTTGGCAGGGATGCTTATATGGATAGCGTTAATTTTGATGAATAACTTTCAAGCTGTTTCATAAGATAGTGGCTCAGATTGTATCTTTTGATCCGTATTGCAAACTCTCCAGCAACGGCCAGGACAGATTGCTGCAGCCAAGGTGCATCATCATGGGGCCAGTTGGCAGCCGGCTCTGTCTGATGATATGTGCTGTCATGTGCTGTCTGATGATATGTGTTGTCATGTGTTGTCTGCAGCTGGGGCTCACCCTCACATATACACTGATGTCAGCGTAATGATTTCCAATGATTTCGAGTGATCACTCTGTTTTTGACAAATCTGTTGCGACTTGATATGGCTATGGATCAATACCTATTAACACCATTTTTAGGGGGATGAACATCCATTTACCAGCTATTTTGATGTTCACCAGGGGTACAAGGTTTTGACACACTGCCATATCGTGATGTTCAGCCTAAATCCCAGACCTAGCACATGTTGATATTATTTGATATTATTTCACCCGATTTCACCCTGAATATTTAGCCTATGTCAGTGTGCGGACTAAACCTAATTACTGAAAAACTCTTTGCTCTCACGGCTCTCACTGCTGTTTGCAATGGACCTGGTCGCTGAACAACCTGTGAAGAAACGGAAGCAGAGAGAGCGTGTCAAGTACTTGGACATACAGGTTCCAGAAGCTAAGGATGAAAGACGTGCTGCATTGCAAAAGCTTTACGAAAGAGAGCGATGCTTGCAAAAACTTTGTAAAATTTTGTGGCAGTCCACTTTTGGGGGCAGTCCACTTTTGGGGGCACGCGTGTGTGTTTTACTTTTCAGCTTGAAGCAGCAAGGAACGAAGAAAAGGAAAGAAGCGAAGAAGAAAGCGTCTCCACCAAAAACATGTGATGCGGAAGTTCAATGTGACCTGGACTACAAGGAACGAGTTTGCCAAACACGTTCGGAACAGCTGGAGCGCGAGAACTTTCGTTTGCGCCCTTTGGTTGCATTTCATGATGAAAGTTTTGAAAGGGTTTCCCAGTGTTTTTTTCTGTTAGGAAAGCGTTCAGGGACTTGTGGTTTGCAACAACCGGAGGTGAGCAAATCAAAATGCAGGGCAAATGGCTGGATGAAAAGGATGCAAAGCTCAACCTAGCAGGAAAGGAGCTGGTGAAGCAAAGAAATGAACTGAGGGCGATCAAACAGAGTTTGTAGGGGAAACATGGGGCAACAAGAGCACACAAAGTGTGCAATCTCTCGGGGAAAAATGGTTTGCTGCCTGGTGCTATCCTGGTGCAGCTGTGCTGACAGCTGTGCTGACAGCTGTACTGAACACATTGACATCTGGTTTTTGCCAGGCGTGATGCTGTGAGAGGGAGCACGGTGCATTCCATCACAACATGACAATCAGGTTCAAAAAATCAAGTCAATCAACAATCATCATGATTTTCCTTGCTTGACAACGGTCTTCCAACAACTTGACTGTGGTGCTGGAGAAAAAGAAAAGGTGATCGCAAGTCAGGTCCAGCTCTTACTGTGGCCAAGAGTTTGGGACCCAAATGTGATGTTATAGGACCCGATTGTTATAAAATTGCCTTATATATATATACAGAGGTAGATAGATAGATAGATAGATAGACAGATAGATAGATAGATAGATATATAGATACATAGATATGTAGATACATAGATAGGTAGGTAGGTAGATAGATATATGTATATATAAATATATATGCTATACAGCTATACATATATGATGATCTGCCACTTATTTGTTTATTCATTTGTTTATTCATCTATTTGACGTTACTATTTCATTTGCATACGTTATGTGTATTTAATCATATGCACATTAGTTAATGCATTCTCTACATGAACCTTCCCTCTTGAAGATATGTACAGAAATTCAACGTTGTTGGGCCGGTTCAATGCATATAGATTTGCCGTCCGCCCGATATAAGGAAGGCGAATCAAGAGAAGATCGAGGCAGAGGAAAAAGCTGAGAATGATCGCATTGAGCAGTACGCCCGTGACAAGCGCGAACGCGAGGCAGAAACCATTGAAACCATTGCATGTAGTGGTGGCTTTTGTTGCACCAAGCTGTATGTTACACCAAACTGTATGTTGACCAAGGAGAGGCTAGAAAAGGAACGGCAAGAACAAGAAAAGGCCAGGCGACCACTGTGCATCATGTGGCTTCAGACTCTTCAGACTCTTTAGACTCTTAGATATAAGGATGACAAGTCAATGGTTACGTCCATGATAACACTGCAGGAGAAGACCCGCATTCTCAACGCAATGTTGGGCAAGATGGAGGCTTGGGCCCATGCTGCTCATGCTCCCATTTTATCTTGACAGGATGAGTTCCCTCTTCTCCAATCTGGTATCACTGTCACAGGCCAAAAACAAAGAAGCGGAGGAGTGTGATTGGACCCACTCCATTCCAGCAACGAATGGTTTTTGGAAATTTTGATTGGTCGAGTGTCGCTTATTGCCGGTGCACAGGCAGAATGACGTTAAACATGGACAAATCCGGCGCTTTATCAAATGAATTCCACTGATGAGCTAGCAGTTCGCCCTTTGTTTCCTGCAACTTAATATGCTTACCGTGCCTAGCAAATGGTGGCTGTCATGGCTGGTTTTATAGTCAAGACGGTGGGCTGGCAAAACCACTGCCAAAAGCGAGCCCCCAGGCTTCAACATCCTTCGTAGGGTCGGTCTTGAAGCAGGTCATAAACGGAATCCCATCGGTTTGCATTCCTTTGGGGTATAAACATTTTGGGTTTGTCCTTTCTCCTCCCGCCCTGGGGCCATTCGCAGAGTGGACTCGATTTGTTTTTGCGAATGCTTGGCAGTGGAAACAGGATGACGTTTGTGGTTCGAGTACAATAGCTCCGAGCTCCTTCCACAAGGATATGCTAGCGTAAATAAGAAGATAAATCAAACATATATAATATAATTCAATTCAATTCAATTCAATTCAATTCAATTCAATTCAAATAATCAAGTTAAGTCTCGTAGTGGGGCGTCCTCAGTGCCGCCGACACGGTACGTGAGGAGTTGGAGCTCCTCAGGAACGAGCTCCACTTTGAAGAACTGGAAGCTCAGGCTCGAAGACTCGATGAGATGCGGATCCTTGGCGTCACTGAAACTACTGGCAGGAACAGTTGGCAAAGGATGGCACAGGATGGCAAAGGGATCCTCAACTATCATAGCTTCATAAATTTCATAACTATCTTGATTCACTTGTTGGGCAACACCAGTTGTTTGCCTTACTCCTGCATCTTTACATAGCAATCTGCACAGCATCCATGGCACCAACAACATGAATAGAGCTGGTGTGAAACGAACGCACAAGTTGCAGAAGTCAAGTCGACAGCAAATTCAAGGATGCGAAAGAAACTGGAAGATCGAGAGGACACCTTTCAACTTCCCCGCAAATTCAACAAAATCAAAGGAAGCTGCGTGGATCTTGTGCCCAGTGTGCCTACTGCATTGATTCAAACGACAGGAGATGAAGAATGCTTATCTCCTCCAAATGCGCGCTAAAGAAGAGAAAATGCTTCGTGCACGTGAAGATGAGGCTACTGAGACAGCTGTTGACTGCTGTTCTGGTCGTTCACACTCCAATCTGCCGCCACAGCACGGGCAAGGCTAAAATGCGGGAAGAATTGATGAAGAAGTTTGCTGAAGACGACCGCCTGGAGCAGCTTAATGAGCACAAGCGAAGACTGAAGGTTGGCTCTGGTGATTTTGGTTCACTCCACTTGATAGAACACTTGCATTTTGAGTTTGTGGCCTTGTGTTGGTTCAACTGGTGTGGTATTGTCCCGTGGTATTGTCCTGTGGTTTTCATGCAGCTTTGCTCAAAGTGCTTCTGAATTCCGAGGATGCAGACCCGTTTTGCCATGTTTTAGAATGTCTTGGTTAAAAGTGCTTGGCACGGGATGTGAGTCAAGGGCACCTAGCTATCAAAGCTGACTATACAGTGCAGGTCGAGCAGCACAAACGGGAGGCTGATCGCCTCATGGAACTGCGACGCGAAATGTGACCTTGTCCCGATGGTCCTGCTTCGGCTTCGGTTCATGAACCACATTTGGTCACGTGGTTTTACGAAATCTTACTGCATTATTCATCAGACATCGCAGACATCGCAGACATCGCAGACGTTGCAGTGCCACGCGAGGTACGAACTTGCCAGGGCCAAGGAGCGTGACGATGAAGCGGCACTTCGCAAGGACGAGGACAAGAGGAGGATCATCATTGAAGAAGAGAGGCGAAGGCGGTCAATTTACAGTGAAATTAATTCACAGCCATTTCCTTTCAGCAAGCTTCCTTGGAGCAATTGCTTGACGTTTGACACGTTGCAGTTGACAGCTCCAGCTGGCCACTGCATTTTCCTTGTAAGGCTGCTTCGGGAACACGGGCGTGAGCTCAAGAAATTCCTGTCACTTGCTGAGATTTGGGTCACATTCTGCCGGGGCGCAGGGTGTTTTTGCCTGTGGCAGTTTCATAGGTCTAAACTGTTGGAATCGCTTTCGCAACCGCAGCCAACAAAATGACAAATCACACGGGCTGAACCAAGTTGTGACCCGCCTATTTTGACCATGAGACCGACCCAAAGCACACAGCATCACACAGAATCGCTTGCGGGGTCATATGATGAGCACTATGTTGAGATACATCAATTCAATAAATGTGTCTTCAGTTCCCTTGAGTATCCTGAATTGGGAAGATCCATGTTGGTGGTGTTTCCTCTGGTTCCTCATTCTGTGCCACTTGCTCTTTCCACCTGGAAGATTTTCAGTTGAGATATGTGCGATCACAAAGAGTCAAGGCCGAAGCACACGCTCGAATCCATGGAGGTCAGAGACAGCCCGCACGTCCCGGCAAATCGTTCTTTTGTTCAATCCTCTTTGCTTACTAGGGACTCTTGCATCTCACTGTTTGCGACCATGTTGATCATTGCAGGTTTTGTTTCTGCTATTTCCTGTAATCATGGAATTCCACAGGTGACGGGCATCAATTTATGATGATCACTCGTGTAAGCCTTTGCATGCTTCAGGACTACCATTTGCTCTTCTCTGAAGCGGATTAGAAATCAGGCAGCTTGACATCAGAAGGTTCGCAGCTGTGAGAGCCTGTGAGAGCAAGACAAAATGGTGTCAGTTTCCCAGAGCAGGAGGCTGTGTACTGCCGTAGTGATTAGGAGGTGATGCAGACCCTGCATGCATTGCAAAGTGCTTGATGCATGTGGCGCAAAAATGGTGCCAGACAGGTCAAGTCTCACACAGACCAAAGGCATGTTTCCTGCGCTCAGCGCGGAGGCAGAAGTGCCAAGTAGAATTTGGGCACACCGCATGAAATCCCCCACGGGCAAAGTAACGAAAGCATCACCCCTTTCCCAGAACCTCACGGACTTGTCACTGCGGATGTGTCAAACGTTAAGTTGCTGAAATGACGTGCATGCAGAAGAAAGCTGAAAATAGGACTGGCCGCACCCCTGTCAATCAAGAAGGATCAAGTTTTTACTCGGAATGACTGGTTCTGGATGTGCAAATGTGCATGAAGGATCATGAAGGCATGAAGTGACATCAAGCGAAGTTGCCATGACGTCTTTTATGCTTTCTCCTGCTTTGTTTTGGCCCAAGTCCTCACTGCACCAAATCAGAGTCCCCTATCTTCACTGCCAGGCGCCACCAACAGGCTTGAGGGTGTGGGTGCAAGGGCTAATGCAGCGCTTTTTTTGTTTGGTGCTGGCACTATCAAGCACGGCTTGCCTGCATACAATCATGTCATAACTGTGTCATAGCCTAAACCCATCTCAACCCGCTGTTGACATGGTGCTTGGAAATTTTGCACCCTGCAGTTGCAATCCGGTTTTGCGCAGCCGTCACTATCGTATGCAGGCTGCATCTGTGTCTTAAGAGTCTTACATTCGTAATGTTGAAGAACAAGATGCAAAACGGCCTGTTGCAATGGGGCAACGGGTGCCACCGGCAGGTGGTCCCTTGGATGACGCAGCTGCCAGTGAAGAATACATTCATCGAGGCCCGTGACGGCCAGTCCAAACAGGATCAGATGAAAGGACAAGGCATTGAGATCATGGAGGCATTTGCTGATCCAGTTGAGCTATTGGACACGGGCCACCAGATTTGCACAGGTGGCTGCCAAGAGGAATCTATGTCTATGTCTATGTGCTGTTTTCAAATATGGTGTATGTATATATACATATATATTATGTTCAACCCAACATTGTGTCATGTGCTGCCACCATCTGCCACCCAGATATGCAGATATGGACTGATATGGATCTCAAGCGTTGCAGGTGAGGACGCACGATCCGATCATCGTGCGACCTCGAGCACAGACTGCAGAAGTCGTACCAAGCTCATCCTACTTGGCCAGTGGCCTCCTCAGAGGGATTTGCAAATGCAGAAAACCACATGTCTTTTTCCATACCATGTTAGAGATCCAGGATCCCGTCTGGATTCCGCTTTCCTCAACATTTTTGCCGTGAATTTCAATGGATTCCCAGGCTCAGTGGAGATTGCCCCTGCCATTGCCCCTACCCTTGCTCCTGCCCCCGTCCCTGTCACTGGTGCTCCGGGCCGCAATTCTTGACACGGTTGACACGGTTGACACGTCGCTTTTCCTGGCAGTTTTTTCATGTGCCACTTGTGATCCGCAAGGCGTGCCAGCGGTCACTGTGGACTCCAAAGTCCGGGCAGCTCCAGGCACCTCGCGCAGCACACCTCTTAAGTGCAAGCAGTTGATGAACATTATGGTTGATGGATGATGGATGATGACAGATGATGTTGATGATTGATGATGATGAATGATGGATGATGGATGATGGACGGTAGATGATGGATGATGGATGATGGTTGATGACAATGGTTGATGATGATGGTTGATGTTGATGTTGATGTTGATGTTGATGTCGTTGTCGTTGTCGTTGTCGTTGTCGTTGTCGTTGTCGTTGTCGTTGCTGTTGTTGCTGATGATGATGGTGATGATGGTTGATGATGATGGTTGATGATGATGGTGATGATGATGATGATGATTATGATGATGTTGATGATGGTGATGATGTTGAGGATGATGGGTGATGGATGGTGGATGGTGGTCGGAGATGTTGTTGTTCTTGTTGTTGTTGTTGCTGATGATGATGATGATGATGATGATGGTTGGTGATGATGGAAGGGTGGTGATGATGATGGTTCTTGAGAATGATGATGTTGATGGTTCTTGAGAATGATGATGTTGATGATGATGATGATGATGGTTCTTGAGCATGATGATGATGACGATGACGGTTGGTGGTTGATGTTGATGATGATGATGATGATGATGGTTGATGGTTGATGGTTGATGGTTGATGGTTGGTTGTTGATGGTTGGTGATGATGATGATGGTGATGATGATGATGATGGTGATGATTGAAGCCGTGGATGATGACGATGGTGATGATGATGATGATGGTGATTATGGTGATGATGGTGATGATGGTGATGATGATGATGATGATGATGGTGATGGTTCTTGATGATGATGATGATGGTTCTTGATGATGATGATGATGGTTGATGGTTGATGGTTGATGGTTGGTTGTTGATGGTTGGTGATGATGATGATGATGGGGATGATGATGATGATGGTGATGATTGAAGCCGTGGATGATGACGATGGTGATGATGATGATGATGATGATGGTGATTATGGTGATGATGGTGATGATGGTGATGATGGTGATGATGATGATGATGATGGTGATGGTTCTTGATGATGATGATGATGATGATGATGGTTCTTGATGATGATGATGATGATTGATGATGGTTGATGTGATTTGCCCGGTTTGTGGCTGTGAGATTCCTGTCTTTATGACGATAGTAATGATTCATGTTTGTCATTTTGCGTCTTTTTTTGTTCACAGGTTCTGCCGCATGCATTGTGTCCAGTGTTGATTCGACGGGTAGGTGGGTCCGGCCAGACCATTTGTACATCAATAGTTGGGAACTCTTGTTGAAGTTAAAGAGGAGTCAGAACAATGACCAAAACAGTGACGGATCAAAAAGGTAACAAACACCCAAAAATGGTGCAAAGAGGGCGGTACACCTTGGTATGATGTGTTTGGCTGGAGTTCATGCACGTGATCAATCACGAACAAACGATCTGGAACAGTCGACCGCTGATACATCACGGTCAATGGTGATAGTTTGAAGTTTGCAATGAGTCAATGTGCAAATGCCAGCCAAATGACAATGTTTTGGCCGGAACAAAGCAGCAAACAGGAAGACGAATTGATATTTGAGTCTTGAAGATAATTGAATTCATCAACCGTTGAGAAAATATTGCATTTGTGTGACACGTGCCAGGAGGTGCTCCGTCGCAAGAACTCCAGATGTCTCGCTGGCGAAGTTGACTCGATCCAAGGTTGTACCTGTCGAAGAGGATATGCTGTAGATACTGTGGATGGATGGATGG